CCTTGGTGGAGGATTAACTGTCAGCTTGCCATGTCTCACTCTTTCCTCTCAGACCTGGAAGCCAGATCTGCCAAATAGTTCTATGCCACCTAGAAAGAGCTCGCCCATTGTCTAAGCTGGCCTGTGTACTCCCACGCATCCGTCCTGCCCGTGAGTCCCGATATCCCCTGTCCCACTTTACCTGCCCCCCCTTTTTTTAAACGTCACTAGAACCCTAAACCCTAAACCCTCATCCTGGAGCCATTACCGACCCTTCTAGGCTGGTATTTGCGGCTACATGTCTGTTCCCCTTGGGTGATATGCGATCCTCTTTTCATTGTAACCTTACTCCATCATTGCTTTGAGTCAACCTTTTGTCCGTTGCTACGGCCATTTGGTCTCACCCGTCCATCTCTGAACTGACCCTCCGTAGCTGCGGTCATTTGGTCTTGTCCGTCTCTCGTGGAAGTCTGATCAGGAGGTGTTCTGCCCGTCCGCAGTTATCTGTTGTCGGTAGCCTCTTCCTGAGTTTGAGTTGTGCCAGTCTTTCCAGCAAATGCGGTCTTCTCGTAACTCCGCTATTTTACCGCTTATCAACCAGATCCTGCTGAATCTCAGTCTCGCCTTCTTTTGTTGTTCCTCATCCTCCGTCCATGATTGTTTGGTCTTCCGCCATCTGCAGAGGATTTCGGCTTGTATCATTGTTTTCATCTCCGCCCAAACCCTCTCTCGTGGGTTGGAAAATCTTTCAATCGTTCTGCTGTATCTTTCCTTCCATATGGCCCATAGCGTCACCTTCCTGATGAGTCCAAACCAAATCCTGTCTGCCTTCCGGAGCTGCTCAAGGATGTTAGTCAAAAGGAGAAGTTGGATGGGTTGTTCAGGGAAACGGGTCGGGAATAGGGAGTCCCAGAGGGCTGAGGCTCTTGCCCAGTAATCTGTCACCTCCCTACAGTGCAGTAAGCAGTGTGCTATGTCCTCTACCTCGCCTTCCGTGCATACTGTGCACCGATCAGAACTGCTGGGGTCTGAACCCTTTCGCCTAGTGTGTAGTGATTGGTTTACTGGCAGTGCCGTGTAGGTGATTAGCCATTGAAGGCTTCTGATTTTAATTGGCCTGATTGACTTGTACTTCTTCCACTGGACCTGTGTGAGCTTGTCTGCCTCTTGGCCTAATAGATTCTGCCATGTTTTTTTAATGGTGG